TTCAGGCAATTCTCCTGCCTCAGCCTCCTGAGTCGCTGGGATTACAGGCACGCACCACCATGCCCAGCTAATGTTTTGTATTTTTAGTAAAGACGGGGTTTCACCGTGTTGACCAGGATGGTCTCGATCTCTTGACCTCGTGATCCACCTGCCTCGGCCTCCCAAAGTGCTGGGATGACAGACGTGAGCCACCGCGCCCGGCCTGTTTTTCTATTCTTAATTTAGTCATTCATATTATTCCTTATGTTTTATTTGCCTTTATTTTTATTGTTTTAGAAACAGGGTCTTACTTTGTTTTCTAGACTGGAGAGCAGTATGCAATCATATCTCACAGCAATCACAGTCTCCCAGGATCTAGACATCCTTCCAACTTCAGCAACCTGATTAGCTGGGATGACAAGTGTGCAGAAGGATGCCCAAGTAATTTGTTTAAAAGAGTTTTGCAGAGAAGGGATTGAACTATGGTTTCAGAATGGTCCTGAACTCTTGTTCTAAAACAATCCTTCTGCCTCACCCTCTCAAAACCTCTGGAGGCCTAGATGTTTTACTAGTTTTTATTGTATATATCCTTGTTAATCTTCCTCTAGTTGCTCTTAATATATTATGAAAAGTAGCATTAGAAATCATGAACTATTATTGTTGAAGTATCTATTTCTCATCTCAGTGTGGCTTAAACAACACACACTTGTGGTTTTTGAATTTCTGTAAATTTGCTTGAATAAATGTTTTTCCACTTGCTGTATATCCTTAGAACTACTTCTAGAGACCTATTTTTTTTTCTTATAACTTTTACCAGTATGGCTGGTTTACTGGGGATGAAGAACTCCTCGTGCCATCATTCTGAAAGTCCTTCCTTACACCTAACTTATAATATTAGTTTAACAGTAAGAGATAAGTATACTTATCAAGGCTTTCCAGGTACAAAAATAACAAAGCGGGTCATTCTGATTAAAATGTAATGTAGGCTGGGCATGGTGGCTCATACCTATAATCCCAGCTGAGGTGGGCGGATCACTTGAGATCAGGAGTTGGAGACCAGCCTGGCCAACATGGTAAAACCCAAAAATACAAAAATTAGACAGGTGTGGTAGCTGGTGCCTGTAATCCCAGCTACTTGGGAGGCTAAGGCAGGAGAATTGCTTGAATCCTGGAGTCAGAGGTTGCAGTTAGCCAAGACAGTGCCATTGCACTCCAGCCTGGGTGACAAGGGCAAAATTCCATATCAAAAAAATTAGTAAGTCAATAAATAAAATACAATGTAGGTCTGGTGCAGGGGCTAATGCCTATAATCCTAGCACTTTGGGAGGCAGATCATGAGGTCAGGAGTTTGAGATCAGCCAGGCCAGCATGATGAAACCCTATCTCTTCTAAAAATACAAAAATTAGCTGGGCATCATAGCATGCACCTGTAATCTCAACTACTCGGGAAGTTGAAGGCAGGAGAATCACTTGAACCAGGGAGGTGGAGGTTGCAGTTCCAAGATTCATGCTACTGCATTCCAGCCTGGGAACAGAGTGAGACTCCTTCTCAAAAACAAAAAATCATAATAAAAATAAAAGGTAATGGAATAGCATTTTTTTTCAGACCAGTACAGAACCAGAAAGTAAGGAAGTAATATTAAAGTTTTTATTTTATTTTATTTTATTTTGTGTTGTTTTGGAGACAAAGTCTTACTCTGTCACCAGGCTGGACTACAGTGGTACAATCTCGGCTCACTGTAACCTCCGCGTTCCAGGTTCTAGCAATTCTCCTGCCTCAGCCTACTGAGTAAATGAAACTAAAGGCACATGACACCATGCCCAGCTAATTTTTATATTTTTAGAAAATACAGAATTTCACCATGCTGGCCAGGATGGTCTTGATCTCTTGACCTTGTGATCCACCTTCCTTGGCCTCTCAAAGAGCTGGGATTACAGGTGTGGCTCACTGTGCCCAGCCGGAAGTAATATTAATGTTAAAGGCAGTAATTACTGAAGAAAAATATGAACAAAAGAAGTGGGAAGAAGTCTCTTAACATACAAACTTTAATTTGTAGTATTATACTCTGCTATTTAATCTATGATTTTAACTCAGACCTCTTCCCCATTCCTATGATATTAATTGAAGAGAAATTATCAAAATTCAGCTGGGCGCAGTGGCTCACACCTGTAATTCCAACACTTTGGGAGGCCAAGTCACGGATCACGAAGTCAGGAGTTTGAGATCATCCTGGCCAACCTGGTGAAACTATGTCTCCACTAAAAATAAAAAAATTAGCTGGGCGTGGTGGCACATGCCTGTAATCCCAGCTACTCAGGTAGCTGAGGTGGGAGAATTGCTTGAACTCGGGAGGCACATGTTGCAGTTAGCTGAGATTGTACCATTGCACTCCAGCCTGGCAATAGAGTGATACTCCAACTCAAAATAAAAAAAGAAAAGAAAGTATCCAAATTCCAGATCCATGCTGAATCAAGGTGTTGATGGGTATCTCCTTATAGCACAGGAAGAGAGTTGATTGGTGAGTTCCATTTGGTTGAATATTCCCCTCTGGCAACACTGCTGGAGATATAACTCACACGCTAAACCAATATTTGTTTGCTTCTGACATACAAACTCTGCAAGTTTATGATTCAAAGACACACAATCACTTTGGGAAACTATCTAACACTAACCATTGAAGATAAGTGTATGTATACTCAAAAGCTCTAGGAATCCAATAATAGGCTTAGTACAAATAAGGATAGATGTCTACCAAAAGACATGGACTACAATTAATTACTCAAATGTCCATCAACAGTAATGAGATAAATATGTTCTGGTATTTTATATATTATACTACATAAACAAAGCTCTCAGATATAAGATTGAGGAAAGAAGCCAAAAACAAGTTTACATGATACATGAATCTATTCATCTTTGATATAAATCAAAATCAGGTAATAACATAAATCAAAATTAGGTAATGATAGAAGTCAGAAGATTTAACTAAGGAGGTCACGAGGAGGCAAGGACTAGGAAGACATGTTTCTGAGATGATAGCAGTATTTGTTGGGAGAGACAGACTTCCATCAGTCTTGCAATCCTAATGTGCTTTCCTGGGTATACCACAATGCAATAGCCTGACTGCTCTTTATCTATCTATGTTATTTCTTAGTAACCTAGACAGATAAGGTAATATCCTTCTCTACTTTCCAACACACAAAGACCAAGCTTGCTTATGCCTTAGTATAAAAATAGTGGAATTCCAAGCTCTCTCTTAGCTGGAATGCAAACATTGCATGTCTGACATTATACATATGTGGGCCCCTTTGCATCATTATTATGGGATTTAGAAAGCATTGGTAGTTTGTAAACATGATGCTCAGGCTGCTTGTTTTCCTATGAGTAGTAAGGTCCTTGTTGCTGTTTTGTTGTGCTGTAAGCCTGTGGCTCTTAGTCCCAAAATATTATTATCTTGTCAGGATCCACTAAATAGTAACAGGTGAACCTTGTAGCTTTTAAGTAAGGTACTATTAAATCCCAGATCCAACATAGTTCTTTTTTTTCCCCCGCCTCAGTCGTTCAACAACAGTTCTATATTGACATGGTGATAGTAACACTGATGTATTTAATTGACCTGTGTATGAGAGTATTATTACATAGTTTACTATTTTATAGTAGTAAATTGAGCTGTGATGTTTATAGGAGGTATGTTATACAATAACATCTTAGCAACGTTAAAGAAAATAATTAGCCTATGTCTTCATATCTCTACCTATCAAGACTTGTCTTTCAGAGGAGAAGTAAAGAAAGGTAGAAGTATAAGGCAGAGATAAGGTCTAAAGAAACTTTTGGTTATGATTATTACTTGGGGCACAGACATAGAGCACAAAGTAAGCTTTGTTAGGGTTTAGAATACCTGCATTCTTCTTTTTTTTTTTTTTTTTTTGACAAAGTCTGGCTCTTGTCACCCAGGCTGGAGTGCAGTGGTGCCATCTAGGCTGACTGCAACTTCCGCCTCCCAGTTTGAAACAAATCTCTTGCCTTGGCCTCCTGAGTAGCTGGGATTACAGGCACCTGCTCAGACAGTTGGCTGATATTTTGGATTTTTAGAAGAGAAGGGTTTTCATCATGTTAGCCAGGCTGTTCTTGAACTCACGACCTCAAGTTATCTATCCTGTTGACCTCCCAAAGTGATGAGATTACAGGACTGAGCCACCATGCCTGGCCAACACTTGCATTTTTTACTTATTCATGTCTTGTGAGCTTGGGCAATTAACCTTTTCGTTTTTTAATTTAACTTTTAATTTTTTTTAAGGCAGGGTTTCACCATGTTGGTCAGGTTGGTCTTGAACTCCCTACTTCAGGGGATCTGCCTGCCTTGGCCTCCAAAGTGCTTGGATTACAGGCGTGAGCAACGAAGCCCGGCTTTACAAGTCTTTATAACGGAAAACCAAAGACAGCAATACATGTATTAAGAACTTCTTAAGGTGTTAAGTACAATATGATATCTAACTTTAACAAATGTGCAATTATACGAGTGTGCTAGGTGGATAAAAAAATGGGCAAAATAGTAACAAGAGTGGATCTGCAATATATAAGATATATTTTAAGTCATGATCAAGTGAGGCCTATCACGGGAATTCATGATTGATTTAATATGAAAAATTAATGTAACATACTATACAATCAGATTAAGGAACAAAGCCGAAGTAGCAATTGAATACATCTTGCAGGACAGCACAAGGAGGCTTTTCTGCTATTATGTCAGATAGATGGTCTGGCCCAAGATTCTATTGAAGGAGATATTACAGTGACCCCAAGGAAGAGTCTCAGGATAGGGTAGGTTTTCTTGCATGACACAGGTTGCGAGAAGTCGTGGCGCCGTAAGACCTGCTCTGTGAATTCCCAGGCGGCGCAGCAGGAAGTCTCAGGATATCAGCATTCAGACTGACTTTTCTGTGAACTGTTCATCTTGGGATAACTTGAAAAGGAGTGATGTTTTCATGCAGGCTGTTATCTGCCAAAGCAGAGATTAACGATGCAGTAAAAACCAGTGGTGAAAGTGAAATCGTCAGAGCTACGTAGTTGGGCCACATAAGGTTAATACCTTCTTTTTTTTTTTTGAGACGGAGTTTCGCTCTTGTTACCCAGGCTGGAGTGCAATGGCGCGATCTCGGCCCACCGCAACCTCTGCTTCCCGGGTTCAGGCAATTCTCCTGCCTCAGCCTCCTGAGTCGCTGGGATTACAGGCACGCACCACCATGCCCAGCTAATGTTTTGTATTTTTAGTAGACATGGGGTTTCACCATGTTGACCAGGATGGTCTCGATTTCTTGACCTCGTGATCCACCCGCCTCGGCCTCCCACAGTGCTGGGATTACAGGCTTGAGCCACCGCGCCCGGCGGTTAATACCTTCTTAGCCGTATTGCCTCTCCTGGCGTTGACTTCTTTCCTGACTATGCCGTATACTGAGTGATAGGCGTTCACAGACTTGGAGTCTTAGCGCCTTTCGTAACTCCTGCCTGTCTAGTAGTCAGCTGTTTCCACAAGCAGCTACAGAACTAAAGATTAGGGACAGGGATTCTGTAGAAGCTCGTAAAGGTGCGCAGGATAACCAGTGCCGTCTTTGGGTATTTTTTATTGTATGTCCATCTATGGTGCTATCTCAATGTTTGGTAATGGATACGAGTCAGTCAGGAGTTAGGTTTCTTCTGCATAGGGCACCAAGGTATTTCCAGTTCCGCTGTGTCTGGGCATAGGTAGAGTAGAAAGGCGGAAGAAAAGCAGGAAGAGTAGCAGACACTAAAGAGAAGAAGACAGATCAGCGCAGTGGACGTCCCGGGGGCGGGGCTTGGGGGAGGTGGGGTCTCGAAGGGTAGTGGCGCAGGGGATGGCGGGAGTCTGCGCAGCTGGCTGGGCGGTCTCTTTTTTTTTTTCGGTCGGCAAATCCAATCCGCCATATTGAGGAGGAGGATTCTACTAGAACGCCGGAGACACAGTTTAACCGATCCTCGCCCGTTACGGACCGACTGTGTTGCTCTCAGACCCTCCCTCTTTCAGTCTACTACTAGATCCTGACGGAGATTACCTCTGTCTTACTTCCGAAATTTCTTAGTGGTTGCTGCTGGTGTCGGGGCAGGAAGTCTCAGGAGAGACCTGGCCGAAAACCGCGAGTAAAGAAAAGTGAATCCTAGTTGAAGACGCCTTTGTGGGAGTAGTACACGGTCACTCAGGAAAAACTGAGCACCTGGAATCGTTGTAAACTCAGCGACAACCCTAGCCCCGGGGCGAAAACAGGTAAAGAGGGATATTGAATGACAAAGAGATAGCGGCATTGGTCACCTCTGTAAAGACCCTTCTTAGTCCAGTTTCCGGTTTTTTAAGCAATGCCTGCCTGAGGAAGGCGCCCAGTCCGTAGTCATGGCCGCTTGCCGAGAAAATATCTAATGTCAAATATTTTACTGATGTTTGCTGTCCGTCATTCCCACGGGTAGGTCTGAGTCCTACCTCTGTTTCCCACCATCGAGTATCCTCATCACGTAGAGATAGCGCCTGTACCTTAAACGACCCCCGCTTCCTAGTGACGAACAGACTTAACGTGTGAGATGATGTAGGAGGCTCAGGGGCTTCTCAGTATCTGCGTTTCTTATTTTACCTTGCCGGGCCGGAGACATTTTATATCGGAGAGGTGCTGGCAGCAGCCGACGGAACTTCAAGGAAAAATGTCCACCTAGTCTCCCCTGCCTTTCCTATTTTTCGTAATATCTAACATGACGTCGTAGGATTAAATGTTCTGTTTTCACAAGAGTAACTCCCTTATTTGTGCTCGGACCTGACTCAGAACCAGGGACTAACCGCTCTTGGTTGCAGTCTTTGCCCCACTGTTCTTCAGAGGCTCGAAACTGTCTGTTACACTTAACGCCAAACGCCTTTACCGAGGTAAAATAATTAGGAACTGAGCTACGACCCAGCAGTCCTTATACATTAGGCTACATTTCTTGTCCACCTCCGGCAATCACCCACACCATGTGACGACAGGCTGCAAAACGTTAGCTTTTTGCCCTCTTACACCTCCTCTTCTTTTCCTCTACTTTGCTAAACGCTGAGACGCAGTGTGACATATTTTAATGAACAATGCGGTTCCAATTTAGTTTGGATCTTTCCCTTTTCTAATTTGTTCTCTACAGAAACGACTTGTCTCTGTTACTGGTTGAACCTGTTTTTGTACCAACGCATTACGCATAATAAAGGTGATTTTTCAGTATCTTGAAATATTAGGTTAGACTTACGGAACAGCTATGATACTAATTTGTATGAAATTTTGTGCAAACTGGAAATTTACACAGGAAATTTAAGCAACATGTATGCAAAGAATGTTATTTGTAAAATTCGCTTATCATTTTCTTAATTTACGCTGCCCTATTTATCTTACAAGTATTTGAGCAACTTTTTCAGAAGGTTTTTAAAGCTTCAAACATGTCCATAACCCTTAACTACTAATGCCGGGTTTTTTTGTTTGTTTTAGTGTTTTTTTTTTTTCCCCGACACGGAGTTTTGCTCTTGCTGCCTACACTGGAGTGCAGTGCCGTGATCTCTGCCCCCCACAACTCTGCCTCCTGGGTTCCAGCAATTCTGCCTCAACCTCCCCAGTAGCAGGAATTACAGGCGCTCTCCACATCGCCTGGCTAATTTTCTATTTTTAGTGGACATGGACTGTCTCCATGTTGGTCAGGCTGCTCTCGAACTGGTGACCTCAGACGATCCGCCCACCTCGGCCTCCCAAAGTGCTGAGATTACTGACGTGAGCCACCGCGTCTGGCTTTTTTTTTTTTTTTGGCCGGAGTTGGGGGTGTATGCTTTTACTGGCCAACTCATTCATTCTCTAAATTCAGAAAACATGAGCACTATTAAGACAGAAATGCAGGTTCTTTCTCTACGAAATTTACAGCAGTTCTTTACTTGGCGTTCATTCTCACTAGTAATTAACCTATGATTAAGTACTAAACCATAAGGTACTGTGGTTATCTAAAACCATACCCTTAAACTTTAAAAAACAGACCATAAAAAAAAATCCAGACCATAAACTTCTGGATTTTTCTTAGTCTGAGGATCCGCAAAGGCGCAATTGTTTAAAAGTGAGAGGGTTTATTTTTCAGTTATAAAACCCATTTATATGCTTTTAACTTTCGCTTTTGAAATTATTCTTCCAGTTTGCGAAGAAAGAAAGCCTGAAGTATTTGCTGTTGGTGATTCAAGGGTGAGTTGCAAATATTTTTTATTACACTGACTTGAAAATAAGATTGTCAAATTTTAATTATTTATTCTTAACCGTTTCCGGTTAACAGTGATTGCGCGAATGTCTACTCTGTCAGTTTGGGCTTCCTGTTGTATTACTCCCTTTTGTCGGTTGGCATTAGTAATGCATATGAGGACTTTCTTTAACTTGGAGAAAATTTTTATAACGGCGACATAATAGCAACAACTTTATATTTGAGAATTATGCAATAAAAAAGTTTTTTTTTTTGGGAGACAGAGCCTTGCTCTGTCACCCAGGCTGGGGTGCAGTGGCGCGATTTTGGCTTACTACAACCTCAGCCTTCCGGCTTTAAGCGATTCTCCTGCCTCAGCCTCCCGAGAAGCTAGCACTACGGGGGTGCGCCACCACAGGCATGTGCCACCACACCAAGCTTATTTTTGTATTTTTGGTAGAGACACGGTTTCACCATGTTGACCGGAATGGTCTTGATCTCTTGACCTTGCGACCCCACCCATCTTGGCCTCCCAAAGTGCTAGGATTACAGGCCTGAGCCACCGGTCCCGGCCAAGAGATTTTTAACAGTAGATTATATTTACTGTTACTGGAGTCTGTTTTGGTCTTTTGTATGTTATGGTACCTGGACGGTGAAAATAGAAAAAAAGAATATACTGGGCCGGGAGCAGCGTCTCATGCCTGTAATCCCAGTACTTTGGGAGCAGACGCAGGTGAATCACTGGAGATTAGTAGTTCGAGACCAGTCTGGCCAACATTCCTGTCTTTACTAAAAATACATAAATGAGCCGAGCAGGGTGGTGGGCGCTTCTACTTGGAAAACTGAGGCAGGAGAATCGAGGCAGAAGTTTGCAGTGAGCCAAGTTCTGTGCCATTGAACTCCAGCCTGGGCCGCGACACACACACACACACACACTCACACCCCCCTCACCAATAATTAGCTGGGCGCGCACATACACACACACAACAGTAATTAGCTGGACACACACACACACACACACACACACACACAGAGCAATAATTAGCTGGACACATACACCCACCCACCCATAATTAGCAGCTACTCAGGAGGCTGGGGTAGGAGAATTGCTGGAATCCAAGAGGGGAAGGTAGCAGTGACCTGAGATCAGGCCATTGCACTCTAGCCTGGGCGACAGAGTGAGACTCCATCTCAAAAAAAAAGGATTTTCTGGGGGTCCCTTTTTCTTCTGGGATGTTGAGATGCATTTTCCAATATCCAATATTATGAACTTTTAATGGATCTCTACTAATAGATTTTTTTAATCAGGTATTTACAATGCAGCTTACAGTTTTAGAGAGTAGACATTTGTCTCAATTTTTTTTTTTTTTTGAGACGGAGTTTCACTCTTGTTACCCAGGCTGGAGTGCAATGGTGCAATCTCCGCTCACTGCAACCTCCACCTCCTGGGTTCAGGCAGTTCTCCTGCCTCAACCTCCTGAGTAGCTGGGATCACAGGCACGTGCCACCATGCCCAGCTAATGTTTTGTATTTTTAGTAGAGATGGGGTTTCACCATGTTGTCCAGGACGATCTCGATGTCTTGACCTCGTGATCCACCTGCCTCGGCCTCCCAAAGTGCTGGGATTACAGGCGTCAGCCACCACACCCAGCAGTATTTGTCTCAATTTTAACATTCAGTTCTTGGTTTGTTGCACAAGTTAGCACTTTTAGCTTCTTGTTTTATTAAGTTAGTTTTTAAAGCACAATAGAAATTTCTTATATTTGTTTTAGCATTTTGTTGTGGAAACCATCCTTTGGTTCAGTTAAAGATAATTATTTCAAATTCATGTCTTTTAAAATATGTACATCGAAGGATTGGTAGTTTAAATATTTGGGTAATAAACTGATAATATTTTTTGCTTACTGGGTAAGTTAGTTTAACAACTTTATTGAAATTAATTTACATATTATATATTTCTTTTACATGTAAACTCAGTGGTTTCTAATAAATTTTACAGAATTCTGAAACTTTTCCAGCTTTAGAACATTTTCATCACTCCAGCAGATCCTTGCTGCTTTTCAAGTTGTTCCCCACTTACATCTTCAGCTTTTGGTAATCCCTGATCTTCTGTCTCTACAGATTTGCCTTTTTTGCATGTTTCGCGAAAATGGTATTATAAAACCTGTAGTCTTTGTATCTGGCATCTTTCAAATAGACAGTGTTTTTGAACTTTGATTACAACATGCATTCATGTTGTAATGAATAAATATTGCATCTTTTTACATTAATGGTATTTCATTGTATGGATGCAGTTTACTCATTTACCAAGTGTATATTTGGTTGTTTTTAGTTTGGGGTTTTATAAGTAAAGTTGCTGGGAAGGTTAATGTATACAAGGCTTTATGTGTGAACAATTAGGGTTTTTGTTTGTTACATTTTTAGGACTTTGTGAACAATTATAGGGCCCTGTGTGGTGGCTCATGTCTGTAATGCCAGCACTTTGGGAGGCCGAGGCAGGTGGATCATGAGGTCAGGAGTCTGAGACCAGCTTGGCCAAAATGGTGAAACCCTGTCTCTACTACAAA